GTGAACCCCAGGCCACCGCAGCGGAGCGCGTGCACTTAACCACTTGCGCCACCGGGCCGGCCCCTCTTTTGCTATTTTGAATAAAGTTGCTATGAGCCTATGTGTGTCTTTTCATAGACATATGCAGTCATTTCTCTAGGATATATATATATATGAGAAGTTCTGGAACTGCATAGATTTAGCTTTTCAGTTTAGATACTACTAACACGTGTTCCAAGTGACAGAAACAATTTACATTTCCACCAACAATACTGAGAATTTCATTGCTACAGATCCAACACTTGGTACTGTCAGTCCTTTTTATTAGTGCTATTCTTTTGAAGTTGTAGTGGTATCACACTAGTTTTCATTTGCATTTTCCTGATGAGTAATAATGTTGAGAACGTTTTTTTCATATGCTTACTGGTCACTTGAATATTATCATCCTCTATTAAATGCCTCTTCAACTCTTGCCTCCCTCTTTCTTTCTTTTTTTTTAAATTACACTGTCTGTCAACTGGGAAGGGCATGAGGGAACTGCTAGGCACTGAAAATGTCCCGTATCTTGACCTTGATGGTTATTTCATGGGCGTATACGTACATTAAGGTTGGTGCTTCGTCGTGTGTCCTACTTAAGAAACTATTGTTAAGCCAGCCCTCATGGCCTAGTGGTTAAAGTTCGCCACACTCAACTTCAGCAGTCCCAGGTTTGGTTCCCGGGTGTGGAACCACACCACTCGTCTATCAGTAGCCAAGCTGTGGCAGCAGCTCACATAGAAGAACTAGAAGGATTTACAACTAGAATATACAACTATGTAGTGGGGCTTTGGGTAGAAAAAAAAAGGAAGATTGGCAACAGATGCTAGCTCAGAGTGAATCTTTCCCAGCAAAAGAAACAAATTATTGTCTACTAAGGACATAAAGATATTCCTCCTATGTTTTCTTCTAGAAGCTTTACTGTTTAGCTATTCACATTTAGGTCTATGACCCATCTCAAATTAATTTTTTTGTTTATGGTGTGATAAATCAAGCTATCAAAGTTAATTTTTTCATATGCATATGCAAATTAACCAGCACCATTTACTAAAAAGACCACTCTTCTACCACTGTATTACAGTGGAAACTTATACAGATGACTGTATATATATTTCTTGATTCCATTCAATTCCTTTTGTCCAGTTCTCTACTCTTGTGCTAATGCTACAATTATCATATCATAAATATTGTAGCTCTGCCTAAGTTTGTGTGATGGTTAATTTTATGTGGCAACTTGAGTGGGCTAAGGGATGCCCAAGATAGCTAGTAAAACATTATTTCTAGGTGTGCCTGAGGGTGTTTCTGGAAGAGATTAGCATTTGAATCAGACTGAGTAAATAAGATAAGCAATCATCAGTGTGGGTGGGAATCATCCAATCCAATCCTCCAATCCCCTGAAAGCCCTAATAGAACAAAAGCGAAGGGTGAATTTTCCTTCTTTCCATGAGATGGGACATCCATTACTTCTGCCCTTGGACATCAGAGCTCCTGTTTCTCATGCCTTCAGATTCTGACTGAATTACCCCACTTGCTTTCCTGGTTCTCTAGAACTTCTTGCAGACAGTATATTGTGGGACTTCTCAGCCTCCATAATTGCATGTGCCAATTCCCATAATAAATCTCTTATCTCTGTGTATATCCTATTAGTTCTGTTTCTCTGGAGAACCCTGACTAATACAGCTATTTGGGAGTTTCAGTTCTCTAGCTTTGGTGTTCAAAATTGTCTCGGCTATTCCAGGTGCTTTGTTGAATCAAAGTTGTTATAGTGGACATCTTCGTCTTGTTCTCAAACTCATGTACAATAGTTCATCATCAATTTTGGTGTTTGCTTTGGGGCTTTTTGTAGCTACCCACTGACTGCAGGAGGATTGATCTACAAATCAATAACAAAGATAATAGAGAAAAAAATCCCAAAAGTTTGGAAATTAAGCAATATAATTCTAAACAGGGCTGGGACTAGGGTGAGGGAGGCAGGAGCCTAAAGTGCAAACATGCCATCCCTGCATTTTCATAGGCCTCTCTAATGTTGTCTAGGCTCACCCTAGTCCTGAGTCTTGTTCTAAATAACTTGTAGCTGCTATGAGAAATCAATGTGGAAAACAAAAATATTTGGAAATGAATGATACTGAAAACAATACATTTTATGGAACAAAGCTAAAGCAATTATTAGAAGAAATTCATATTTTAATTGCATATATTTGAAAAGAAGAAAGGTTGGGGTCTGTGAAATGGGTGAAGGAGGTCAAAAGGTACAAACTTCCAGTTACAAAATTAAAGTCATGGGAATGTAATGTACAGGATGGTGACTATGGTTAATAATACTCAATTGCATATTTGAAAGTTGCTAAGAGAGTAAATCTTAAAAGTCATCATCACAAGAAAAACAATTTTTATAACTATGGTGACAGATATTAACTAGACTTATTGTGGTGATCATTTCACAATATATACAAATATCAAATCATTATGGTGTACACCTGAAACTAATATAATGTTATATATCAATTGGACCTCTATAGAATTAGAAGAAGGGGGAGGAGGAGGAGAAAGAAGGTTGGAAAAATAATGATCTAAGTCATTGCTTTCCGTAGAAGTCTCTGCAGTGATGGAAATGTTCTGTATCTGCTCTGTCCAATATGCCACATGTGACTACTGAGCTGTTGAAATGTAGCTAGTGTGACTGAGGTAATGAATTTTTAATTTTATTTAATTTTGATTAATTTAAAATTAAATTTAAAGGTACAAGAAACAAATCTTCCTTACAAATGAATTACAACTAATTTGTGTACTCTCAATAATTTGTGTATCTCATAGACACTCCCCCTTCCATGAAACCACATGTCCCTTCCTGAGTTTAGGCTGGATTTAGTGTTTTTGTTTCCAAAGAAGAGAAGGTAGAAAGGGGGAAAAAGTAACTTTACAGTGGAGAAACTAGTGGTAAGTCATATCGAGAGAATATATCCCTGATGGGAAGTGATAAGGAAACATTATCTCTGTGGTATAATTCTAAAAACCTATATCCCCAGTGTAACCATGAGAAAAACATCAAACCCAAACTGAGAGACATTCTACAAAATATTAGACCCTTAAGGACTCCTTAAAATTGTCAAGGTCATGACAGACAAGGAAAGTTTAAGAAACTGTCATAGATCTGAGTCGGCTAAGGTCACACTATGACTAAATGCAATGTGGTATCCTGTATGGGAATTTAGAACAGAAAAAGGACATTAGTGGAAAAACTAGTGACATTTGCATAAAGTCTGGAGCATAGTTAATAGTACTTACTGAAGGATATTGGAGTAATTTGGAATTCTAAAGGAGGTCTTTTCACACATATACACCTTAGACATTGCAAATATTTTCTCTACATCTACATTCTCTTCATTTTGACTATAGTAAATTTTACTGAACAGATATCTTCAAATGCAAAGCTTCAATAATATTTAGACTGTGTGATATGATCATAATGCAACAAGGTGAGAAATTGATAAAGGGAGAGCTTAAAAAATCCCATAAATTTGTAAAATAAATAGCATATTACATAACCCTTGTGTTAAAAGAAAATCACCAGAGAAATTAGGACATACTTGGAATCGAATGATAATGAACATATAATGAAGCAAAAATTGTGGGACACAGTTAAATTGGTACTTAAAGTAAATTTATAGCACTACATACAAGAGAAATAAAGAGAGTTTACAAACAAATGAGCCAAGCATTTATCTCAAAAAATTATAAAGAGAAGCAACAGAAGCTATAGAGATAAGAAGGACCAGGGGCCGGCGGGTGGTGTAGCTGTCAAGTGTGTGGGCTCCATTGCTGGGGGCCTGGGTTTGGATCCCAGGTGTGCACCGACGCACCGCTTGTCAAGCCATGCTGTGGCAGTGTCCCATATAAAGTGGAGGAAGATGGGCACAGATGTTAGCCCAGGGCCAGTCTTCCTCAGCAAAAA